AATGAAAGGGTCTTTCTCCTCAACGAGGGAAACAGAGCCCTCCGCACTGCAGCCAACCGTGACCTTCCCCCAGTGGCCAGGGTCCACTGGCATGGAGAGAAGAGTTGGCGATCAAACCTCGTCAAAATAGATAAGCGGATTAAGAGTGGATTCCAAGCCGGAGATAACTCTGTAGCTTTGAGACGTTCTGTTGCAGAGCTTCTCGGGTCGGTTTATCCGGGGCTCGTTCATTGTTTTACGGACGGATCGCGGTCCCGGGCTGGAGTTGGACTCGGAGTGACAGGACCGAACACCGAACGAGTCAAAGTCTACCGGAGGAGTGTTCCGTCTTTTCCGCTGAAGCCGCAGCTATTCTAGACGCAGCCATCACTCCGGCAGATCAACCGATCCTCGTATTAACTGACTCACACAGCGTCATCCAAGCGCTGGAAGCCGAAGCCCCGAGCCACCCCTGGACACAAGCCATTACACGGTACGCCCCACCTTCAACCGTCTTTACTTGGATCCGGGGACACTGCGCTGTTCCCGGAAACGAGGCTGCGGACAGACTGGCGCGATCTGGCGCATCCCCCCCGCTACACCAGAAACGTACCCCTCCTCGACGTCAAGCGTTGGATTGGGAATACCATTATGGAAGCCTGGCAGCAGGAATGGTTCCAGTCGCGGACCACTTTCTTGAGGAAGATCAAGGGAACCGTACGCTCCTGGCCGGACAGCCAAAAGTACAAGGACCACCGGATCATCTCAAGACTCCGGACCGGCCATGCGAGGATTTCCTGTAATTTCGGTGGGACACCTTTCTCTGTTCAATCTGCAGCATCCCCGCCTCGGTGGAACACGTGCTGTGTATCTGCCCGGAGTTCTAGAAGCTACGCGAACAACATGGACTCCTGGAGAACGTCAGTAATCTGCTTGGTAACGACCCCTCGACGTTGGCTGCGCTGATCGCCTTTCTGAAAGAAGCCCACTTGTATGACCAAATCTAGCCCCCCGTCGGTGACTGCACTGATCGTGTGTTCCTCACGTTTCTATTTTTTATTTCTGCCGTCGGGGTTTCTCCGACGGACCGGGCACTCTCTCCTACGGTGGAGCTCTACCTTGTTCGCGCACCCAGTCCTCACCACAGCCCCGATGTAATCCTCACCTTACATTAAGTTTTTAAAATGTTGTCTGTCTCATTCGTTGGGTAATCAGAGCCGGTTATACGTCACGTTCATTTTAAATTGAAACCTATTTTTTAGGCAAGATCTAGCCTGACCATCTGGTGTATAACGTGATGAACTAGCCTACGGCTAAAAATCACGGTAAGAAAGAAAAAAATTCCTCGTGAACTAGCCTTGACCTCCTCCATCTCCATCGAACCTTCCGATCATAACCGGCCCAAAAGGCTTAGTCAGAATGTCCGCGATCATATCCTTGGACGGACAGAACCGCAGCTCCATTTCTCCTGTAGCACACCGCTCCTTGGTATAATGGAAACGAGTATCGATATGTTTCGATCTTCGCTTCTGTTGATCGAGTGCGACGAAGTTCATTCATCCTTTGTTGTCTTCGGGAATTACGGTTGCACAGGTTTGCTTCACGTTCAGCTCATCCATCAACCTTCTCAGTAAAACTGTTGCTGTGTAGCCTCCGACAATGCTACGTATTCTGCCTTCATGGTGGACGTAGCCACGCTGCTCTGCTTACGGCTCGTCCAGCTGATCATAGCTTGTCCTAAGCGGAACAGGTAACCACTGCATGACTTGCGGTCGTTGTTATCACCCGGCCAATCGGTGTCACAGTAGCCCTCCAAATTCTCCTCCACTTCTCTAGTGCTTCCGCCAAGCTTCAGACCGTAGTCCATCGTATGAATCAAGTACCGGACGATCCTTTTGGCCTCGTTCCAGTCAACGGCTAAGTATTCCCACGCTAGCCGCAATATCCGGACGGGTATTCGTTTCTAGATACAATAGAGATCCAATCAGCTTGTGATACTCGACGTTGTCCTTGAGGTTTCGACTGTACTTCATTACTTTGAAATACCAAGTGTCGAGTGGATACTTCGAATCTTTTGCGCCTTCCATCCCAAAACGTTTAACCAGCTTTCTTATGAAAACACTTTGATCCAAGACGAAGAAACCATCAACGCTCCTCGTGACTCGTATTCCCAGAAAACAGTTGATATTCCCCAACTTGGAGATGGTTAACTTCTCTTGCAGTGAATGTTCGACCTTTGTGATCTCCTCCTCATGCGCACACACAACCAAAATGTCGTCTACGTAGATCATAAGATACACCTAATCACCATTATCGAGACGCTTCCGGTACAAGCACGTGTCCGCCGTACATTGGTCGAACCCCATACCAATCAAAATCTGCGCAACAGTCATATGCCAAACCTTGGCAGCTTGCTTTAGGCCGTAAATGCTTTTACGTAGCCGGCAGAATTGATGTTGTCTTCCTTTGACGATGAATCCTGGTTGCTGGCGCATGAAAATCTCTTCTTGCAGTGTGCCATATAGATAGGCCGTTTTGACGTCCGGATGTTTGACGATCCAGCCGCGATTGCCTGCGACAGCCAATAGTACGCGAAAAGTACCCTGCTGTGCCACCGGATCTCACTGCCATTTTCCCCAAATAGTACACTGAAGTATTTATTTGCGAGGGTAGTCACCGAAATAAATCCACTTGTAAATTTCGGAACATACAGCAAGTCCGATAGCGCAATATCCAGCGGACATCCGTCCATATTGACTCCGGTAATCTTCCCGCTGCCTATTCCTTCGACAGCTGCCTTTTTAACGTCCGCCAGCATTACGCTCATTCCCTTCAGCTCGTTTAGGGATTCAAAGAAACTTCTTGTTCCCGTCATGTGCTTCGAAGCCCCACTGTCCACAAACCAGCTCACATTTTCTGTATTCCCGGCAATCCAAGCAAGTGGTCCATCGAAAACGTTTTTGACTTGCTTTGCCTTCGCAGTATCTTCTTTTTTCGGCTGGCTCGCAGTGTGCTTCATCCTGCTTCTTCCCAGATGCTTTCTGCAGTTCCGTTTCAGGTGACCAGGTTTCTTACCTACGGAAACCTTGTTACGACTTTTACTTCCTCTAAATCATCAAGTTTGGTCAACTTCAGCGAGTCAAATGTAATCCCGAGGGACTAGTTCACCTTCAAAGACCTCACTAAATAATCCATCGGTAGTAGCGACGGGCGGTGTGTACAAAGGGCAGGAACGTAATCAACGCTAGCTAATGACCAGCACTTACTGCACTTACCATTTCAATCCATAATCCCGACTAAATGAGCATTTCAAGTGATTTCCCGGCCCTCTCGGGCTAGGATACACGCTGCTGCTCACATTGTAGCGCGCGTGCAGCCCAGAACATCTAAGGTCATCACGGACCTGTTATCGCTCAATCTCATTTTGCTGAACACAAATTGTCCTATTAAGCAGAAGTCATCCTCGATGAGCAGACCCGTGTCTCCTGACTTCCACTAGCACTGCCATCGCTTCGTTGCTGACGAGACTGGTGACGTTATTCCACCTTCAGAACGGGTGAACGGGTCACGTCGTTTTTCGGCTTCAGGAAGCAACTTGGATTTGATTCCAACGTAAGCTCCGTACTCGGGCTCTTTAATCAGTAAGTACATAGTACATGCATAGAGGTAACTACAGGTACAGGTAGGCGTGTTTTGTTTATTGAGTTACGTAATTTGTCGTTTGGGCTGGTTGTCTCCGTGTTGCAGGTAATAGTCTAAAAAGCCAGGAATATCCATTTCCTTGGTCCTTATTCAGTAAATTTGCTTGTTTCTGTTTGTAAATTTCTAAACTGTCAGCTACGTTACGTTTCCAAGGGTTTGTAATATGTCATACAATTATTATGTCCATCAATCAATTTAGATTTGCAGAATTGCTTGGATGCTTGATACGAGAATTTCAAAATTCCCTGAAGATTTTCAGTTTCCCAGGTAGTACACACCCTAGGGTTAAAGATATATAAAACTTATGGATGTCATATTTGCATATCCTCTTAGATCCATAGGTTAACATTAGCGGAATTGGGAGAAAAGCTAGGACGAGAAGAAAAAAAGATCAGGCAGTGCAGCTTCAAGTTGCAAACATAGGGACCTTCAATAAGGCGTCCTGCATCCAGTCGGGCGGAAAAGTCGTGGTTTTCCAGAGATAACATACTAAATTGAATTATCAGGATAGTTGAATTCGGATAGCTGCTTCTATCTCTTGCCTTCGGCCAAGAAGTTCCCACACACTCGCTTGTCCCTTCTGATCTGGCTGATGCAAATGTGGTTGGTTTGATTCTCGGTATGTCCATCTCGGGTCGATGGGGGAAGAGCGAACCCCCGATCACCATGGTGTTATCGCCATAAACTCCGCAAACCGTCTCGGGCATTTTTTTTCTCGGGATCATGGCATCCCATGACAGCTTGAGGTCTCCTATCCGTCCTGATGGTTTAGCTTCCGGGCTTAGGTGTCGCTTCCGGGATAAGCTTTGCTTGTGCATCCGACAGACGTTGGCTGTATAAGCCGCTCCTCCATGGTGATCCGACGCTCTTCCCTGGAATGCCCTGAATGTATACTAAGAGCTTAATCTACCCGCTCTTCCAGTCTTTCAGACAACTGATGAAGTTGATCAGGTGTGATTTAAGTGCACTAAAGTCGTTTCGTATGGTTTCAATTCCAGAAAGGTATTCACGAGTTCTTCTTATTTTTCCTGGAAGGCGACTTCTTGTTTGCTCTTCTGCATTCTCCCGTGAAAAGTCTTACGGTTTGCTATTTTTTGGGAATCCTACTAATGTCATCAGGTATGCAGATTATGAATCTTAATCCCCCCTTTCGCGTCATTGAGCAGCATTTACTTGCGTCTCCAATCCCGAATTAGTTACAGGCTCTAAGATTACTAATCAAGAGATTATACTCGTCGGAGAGCAGAGATGACGTAAGTCACTGCACATGGGAAAATTAGCTGTAAATAACTCATTGATTAGGAAACTTTAAAAATTACCTTGTTCGGTGAAGTTGAACAACGGAGGAAATTCGCGACCGTTCGGTAGTGTCTTGTTGCCCTCTCGCAGCTCGTTGAAGAATGGGTGCGCACATGCCTGGATCGGGGTGATCCTTGTACCCGGGGTGTACTCTAGCAACCGGGACACCAGGGCGATCGCATCTGGTGGAGTACGTGCTCGGAATACCTGGCGAGGATGACGACGGATGGGAAAGAGAAATGAAAACAAATGTTATCAGTAAAGTTGTTTTTTATCGCAAAATAAAAAAAAAGGAACAGAACGGAAAAGTAAAGAACAGGAAATAGTCGATGTTAAAAGAGAGAGAAAAAAAACATAACAAATAATAAATAAACAGAAAACAATAATCGGGATAAAAATGGAGAAAATAAGAATAGAAAAGGTTTCGTACGAGCAAACGAAACGAACAAAAAGAAAACAGAAAAAGGTAGGCAGGTCCCAACAAACCATTTGAGCCGATTGAAGGCTGAATAAGCAATTTTTTTTTAGCTGAGAAAGCATATTTTTGCCTGAATCAGCTCTTATTCTGCTTCCAATGGTTGTGTTGGGTTTGAGAAAAGAAGAAAAGTAGGAAACGAACTTCAATAATTCACTCTTTGCTGTCAGATCATCAGGCGATTGGTTTCGACTCACGTCAGTTAACGAAAAAAAACGAAAGTAAATTAAACAAAAGGTGTGCGGCGAGCGATGCAGTGGTGGGTGGTGACGAGATGAGATACCGGCTTAGACAGCAGCAACAGATTCGAAGAGAAGGCAGCTTGCTTCCTCTCATCAGCTACTACATGACAAAACACGGATATACATGGAGAGGAGAGAGAGAACAACAGCCAATCAATCCAACGTTACGGGATGAAGTGAAGCACAAACTCGGATCAAGAACAAGAACAGTGTGAGTTGTTTAGTTGCAGGCAGTTGAGCTACAAACAGTGTCACGACGCACTACGGTTACGTTATCATAGCAGTGATGAGAGGAATGATTTCTGCGGAGATGATGGCGCAATACGAAGAGAAAGAAGAAGCTTTAATGCAAGCCGTGCTGTGCGGTGGGTGGTCACTCTCGGCCCAAGGGGGAATGCTAGAGAACTAAACTAGTGCCGAAATATTCTTCAACAGTGAACTCGTTAGGGCGAACACTCGATTGGGTGATTACCATATTTCGTATCCCTGGTGATTTTTTTTTAGTTAGTCAATCGATAATGGTTTATTATTATCACAGCTTAGTATACCTACTGGGGAAAAAAAACACGGTTTCCATTTCTGATTAGATTGACCAACAGAACAACGACAAACTGGGAGTTTTGCTGGTGTACAAGAATGAATATAAGGAGGGTTCTGCGCGAATTTCCATCGGATGAAATTTGTCTGCTTCACGGTCTAACAACAAACCTTATTGGCGCGAAACCCTTCGGTGTGCAGCAAAATGCAAGAACAAACAACACAATTTTGCCGGAAATGTTTGATTCGAAATTTCCTGGTGACGGTGATTCACTACATGGGTGACCTTCTTCACTTCTGATACCTACACATACTGATTTGGGTTGTGAGTAAATGGTAGATAGATACGTTCGACCTATACTGAGAAAATACAAATGTACTATATTTACAATATAGTTCACTCTTCGAGTTTCCATACATCACGCAGGGGGACAGAAACTTCCCATTCGACACACCTGCCAACCTGCATTTGGTTACAGCCGAGGGGTGAGTGAGTTGCAATTATTACACACTAAAAATATAATTTAATTACATTAATTACAATCAGAGAAAAAAGTTGTGCTCATTGCTTAGGCCCGGAGATACCTGTGGGAACACGAAAGTAATTCTAGATAGAGCTGGAATTAGGGCCTTACAGCTTTTGTATACAATGACTTCTCTTGACGATTCACCCACGCAAACCAACATCCTCAACGGGTAGGGAAAGACTTCCCCTATCCGATGGTTAGGTTGGTCTGCGTGGACTTGCCTTGAATTCCTAGAAATCATCGATATAAGTCTAAATTGGAATGCTCGATCTCTTAAAGATAATGAAGACGAGCTATTTAACTTTTTGAGATTTCGTAACGTGCATATTCCCGTTATAACTGAAACGTTCCTTAAACCTGACCATAAGGTTAAGAAGGACGCAAAGTATTTCAATTATAGAAATGATCGTCTTGATGGACCCTGTGGTGGCGTTGCCATCAATGCTCATAGACGAATCAAACATAAGATTCTTTCTTCATTTGAAACCAAAGTTTTTGAAACTTTAGGAGTTTCTGTTGAAACAAAATTTGGACAACTTACGTGTATAGCTGCCTATTTGCCATTCCAATGCGTAGGCCATCAAAAGAATTTGCTCAAGGGTGACCTCCAGAAACTTACCCGTCATAGGTCTAAATTCTTCATTATTGGTGATTTTAATGCACAACATCGCTCATGGAATAATGCTCAAAGCAATTCCAATGGTAATATTCTATTTGATGATTGTTCTGCAGGTTATAACACTATTAAATATCCAAGCAGTCCAACATGCTTTTCTTCAGCAAGAAATCCCTCAACTATTAATTTGGTCTTAACTGATTCATGTCAACTTTGTAGCCAATTGGTTACCCATGCTGACTTCGGTTCTGATCACCTTCCAGTAACTTTTGAAATATCCCAAGAATTAATTTGTAATCCCAACAGCTCTACTTTCAATTACCATAGAGCTGATTGGGAGCAATATCGAACATTTATGGAATATAACTTCGATCCAAACATTCCTTTGCAAACCAAAGATGAAATTAATTTTGCTCTTGAATCTCTGACTACTTCTATAGTTGAAGCAAGAGCTGCCTCAGTACCAAAATGCTAGGTTAAATTCGATTCAATTATAATAGACGACGATCTTCAGCTCTTGATCCGTCTTAAAAATGTCCGTAGGAGACAATATCAAAGAACACGCGATCCTGCCATGAAAGTTATCTGGCGGGATTTACAAAAACAAATTAAAAAAACGATTTTCTGCCCTGAGGAACAAAACTTTTGAAAATAATGTTTCTGAATTAGACCCGAGTTCCAAACCCTTGTGGAAACTCAAAAAAATTTGAAAAAAAAACCTCAAAAGCCTATTCCAGCGCTTAAAGAAGGTGGTAAAATTATTAATCACAAATTTGAAAAAAAAAAACCCAGAAACTTGCTAAGCAATTCGAGAGTTCACATAATTTTAGTTTGGGTCTTACTAGTCCTATTGAGAATCCGGTTGCTCGGGATTATCTGAATATTTTCTCTCGCGAAAATATTTTTGATGATTCCTGAGGGACTGATTTGAAGGAAGTAAGATATATAACTAAAAAGTTTCATAATATGAAAGCTCCAGGTGATGATGAAATTTTCTATATCCTCATAAAAAAAAAACTCCCAGAGAGTACCTTGTCTTTCTTGGTAAAATTATTTAACAGATGTTTCCATTTGGCATACTTTCCTGATAAATGGAAAAATGCTAAAGTTGTTCCAATTTTGAAGCCGGATAAAAATCCAGCTGAAGCTTCTAGCTTCCGTCTAATAATTTTGCTTTCTTTAATAAGTAAACTTGTTGAAAAGATAGGTCTGATTTGCCTCACGGTTGCCACAAATCTTTGTTCGCTGATGACACAGGCATTCCCGCTAGAGGAAGAAGTCTTCGTGTTATTTGCCGCAGACTGCAGAAAATTTTAGATATTTTCTCTTCTTATTTACAAAAATGGAAGATTTCTCCCAACGCTTCCAAAACTCAACTTATAATATTTCCACATAAGCCTAGAGCTTCGTTTTTGAAACCTAGTAGTAGTCACATAGTCACTATGAACGGAGTTCCAATTTCCTGGTCAAACCAAGTGAAATATCTTGGATTAATACTTGACCAAAAATTAACTTTTAAAGATCACATTGAGGGCACTCAAGCCAAATGTAACAAATATATCAAATGTTTGTATCCTCTTATAAACAGGAAATCCAAACTTTGCCTGACGAATAAACTTCTAATATTTAAACAAGTTTTTAGACCGGCCATGCTTTACGCTGTGCCAATATGGTCTAGTTGATGCACTACCAGGAAAAAAGCACTTCAAAGGATTCAGAGCAAAGTTTTGAAGATGATTTTAAAGTTGCCTCCCTGGTACAGTACTACCGAAGTACATAGAATTGTTGAATGTTGAGACTTTAGAACAAATGTCCAACAAAATAATTAATAATTTCAGGCAAAAATCGTTGCAATCTTCAATTGCAACGATTAGTTCCCTTTGTACTTAGATAAGATTTAGTTTTAGTTTTAAGATTTCAATTGTTATACTGACATGCAGGTTTATAAAACCTGTTTAAAATGCTGAATTGCCTAGGCAGGAACAATGTAAAAACACTTAGATATATATCATAACAATTAAGGCTGGTAAGCTACTGTAGTAACTGGAGCACCTTGGTTAAAATGTAATGTATTTATTTTGAATTTGGAACAAATAAAGCGTTTAAAAAAAATATCGATAGAAGTCATTGTTTACAAAAGATGTTACGCCTTAATTCCTGCTCTATTTAGAATTGTTTAAACAAGTTTTGATCATAATCTCTGTTGTAGCTCTGAAGCATCCCTCGTAATGTTTATAGAATACATTAGTTGCCTTTTCTGACGCAAAGGCGCGCTTTTTGGCCGAAAATCATGTCTCAGAGAAAACACGATGTTACGAAGGGCAATTTCCAGGCAAATATTTGAAGAATCAGAGAAAAATTATATTGATATTTTTTTTCAAATTAAAATCAGTTGCAATAACTGAGGCTTGCATGTTTTGTTATATCAGTGAAAAATATGGCAATTCAAAAAGCAGACCTGTAACTAGACCTCTGGACGATTCAGTTTCAGGATGGGACTGATACATTGGCGTAGCTAGAAAATTTATCTGGCCTAGGGATGGCCTGTTGATTTTTTTTTATTTTGCTAAACTACGGTTAAATAAAAGTTCGCAATGATGCTTATTTTTGGGAAAAATTTTTTTCTGTGACTGATAATACGACATTGAGGCTTACTTTTATTATAATGGTGAAACAATAAATTTGATTATTTCTATTTCATAGCAATGATTGCGATCATGTTGGGGGAGCCTTAAAAGTTTACTGAATTTCAACAAGCAATGATCCTTTGTTCATGCTTTTTGTAATGAAATCACATAGCGTCCGGATGT